AAACAAAATTGAAGAAGATTCATAGGTCCTGATTCTTTGATGTGTTGCATAAACATATATAACAGTTCAGGATCATTTAAAATTTCATTTAAAGATGGTTTGAAGCAACTGTGTGTGATATGTGAATGCATTGCTGGAAGTGTCACCCAGGATTGGAGTATTGGTACAGTAATAGTCTCTGCAGTGTTAGATAGAGTAGTCTCACGATGAGTGGATAATGTCACTAGCATATTTATATTTTCTGGATCTGCCAGTGCATCAATTGCTGGCAATAGCACCCAATTTGCCAAAATTTCTCGAAGTATTACCTAAAAGTCATCACATATAAATTAAAAGAAGCGTATGAAATATTACTCAATTGCTTGTATCTACATAATCTTTCAAATTCATAAATATACATGCTACATAATAAAAGCTAGAATTTTGAAAGAACATATCATTACTTTATTATTTGTTGAGACGTGTATGGCAGGTAATAAATGTGGTAACAGTGCAGTGACTAGACCCCGTAAATAATTCAACTCAGCTTCTCTTGAATACGCAGCTGGATGAATTTTAGAACTCAAACAACTCCCGATGTAATCTTGGGGCATTTCAACTTCAGATATGGGCATTTTGAGTAATGCTTTCCAATCTTGAGCGTGTTGTATGGCCACGGGAATCAGGCCATCAAAAACGAGAGTTGCTGTGTCTGCACGTAATAATCGAATGGTAATATTCTTTGCTGCTGTTGTTATAGCTAAACGTAATTGTTGTATGAAAGCTTCATTAGCTGAAATATCCGAGTACCAAGTATGGACATACATTTGGAGTAACTCTTCCAGAAGCTACAAGATAACAGATTTATATACCTTTTGCTAACAAATACAGAATGTAACAGTAAATTATGCATAAATGTATAATTAATTATTAATTACTTGCTCTAATGCATGATCAAAGTCTTTTGGTACTTTGACTTTGGTCGAATGCGGCAACAATTTATGCCTTTTGCAAGTATTCTTGCTGCAGACGCTACATGAATCCTTAATTTCGTATCTTACAATAAACTTGTCACTTATAATATTGAATCTCGTCAGCAAACCATAAACGCGTTGTTCATTTATAATATTATATCTCGTCAGTAAACTGTCAACATATTGTACTAACTGAACAGCGTAAAAACTGGCAATCGCGTAAATACTAACCACAATGAACACCCACAGAATGCTATAAAAAAATTAAGAATAATTTCACATATGTGAATTCATATACATTATTGACAAATGTTATTTACCTATTAAACACAATCACAATAAATGCGACAAGCAAAATAATAATCGCTGATGTTACAGCACTAAAAGAATACAGATCCTGCATTTCGTTGAACAGTGATGTTACAGAAAACAGTTTTATGTTTAGTAAAACATTCTTCGTTATCACAAAGTCATTTTTTAATCAAAGAAGATGTTTCCTTTATTTTCTCGATTCATAAAGTTGTCTTTTTGATCGCTTTAACAGTTTCAAGTGACGACTCTACACCAGTCTACACCTCTACACTCTCTATAGTTACAGTTATTTACAGCGCTCTGACAAATATTCTGAAATTCAAATACAATAAGTAATTAGTGGATTGCGACAGAAGAAAACAAAGAATAACGTGAAGAAAGAGTCGACTTTATTTTATATTTTCGTGTGATAATTCAAGAGCGGATTGAGAAACTTTTTGTCATCAGAACAATGATGAGATAACCTATATATTGCGTATAGATGCATTATCTTGATATGTCGGATATATTATAGACTCTCTTGGATTTTGTATGATATTTTAATAAAAAAAACAAGATTGCAACAATGTCGAGACCTCCGGATCCAAAATTTCTATTGCGTGGCGACATGGATGAAAATGTGCATAGTTTATTGTTTTCGATTAACTCTGATGTCGAGCATCTCTATGCTGGTGATGGAAAAGGCATAATACACATTTGGGATTTAAAGGTAAATACTTGTTTTTTTTTTTAATTATAACAGTTTAAATAATTTTTTAAATAATTAGATTTAATCTTTCGGTACTGTCAATTCAACTTTGTTTATGTTACATCTGCAAATTTAGATTATTTTTATTAAAATAAATTTAGTATTCATTCTTTTTTATAGAAATTATTTTGATTCTTTGAAATTAAAATTAGTGTCTTTTAATCGACAATATTAAAGGGATCTGACACACTTAGTATCAGTATAACTGTGTTTTTTTGGTATCAGCTCAGAGGATTATTTAATAAAAATTCATACAACATGAGAGAAGAATATTTTATTCTTAACATAAACATGCAGAAAAAACATTGAAATTTGTTAAAAAGAATTAAATTCTTTTTATGTTGTAGACAAACAGGATAAAATATCAATTATCAGATGGATGGAGTCCATGTTTTAATTTACACATAACTAACAAGACTGACTTAATAGTGCAACGAAGACATGGAATAATTGATGTGTACAAAATGAATGAATCAAACTGGATACTAGACAAAAGCATCAATTATGAATATTGCAGTTTTTGCAGGTATGTAACAAATAAATCTGTTATAAGTATATTAATAAATAAGTCTGTTAAAATTAACATGAATATTTTGTATCATAGATCTCAATTATTACCAGAGAACGATGCAGTACTGATTCCATTTGACTGTTCTGTAGTAAGAACATTATCATTAAAAACATTCAAACTAGAATCGACATTAGATCCATCCAAACTGTCTTATAGTAATAAATTAGGTACTGTAATGGCAATGAAATCATTGATGGATGTGAATGGTTTCGTTCTAGTTGCTTACGAGGGTGGGCAACTATTATTATGGGATATGAGAAAGAATGATGTTCTTAGTTCTCTTACTGTGGAACAATATCCAATGACTTTCGATTTTGATGCTTCATTGATGCAAGGCATCCTTGGCAGTGCGTCAGAGAAATTGGAGGTACATTACAAAAAATTGATTTTCATAACTCTGTCTAAAAAGATATATGAGTTTGGTGTTGATAAATTATGTTTACAAATTTTTAGATTTTCGAGATGTTGCCGAATCATACTTTATCTCACAAATATATGAGATCTTTGGAGCATGTTAATGGCATATCCATTCTTTCTGTAAGACCAGATAAAAAGATTGTCACGGTTGGATGTTGGGACGGACGTATGATGTTGTTCTCTTGGAAAAAATTACGTCCACTTGCGATATTAAAAGAACATAAAGCAAGTGTATATGACATTGTTTATTCACAATGTAAAGTCGAGGCCTACGATACTAAATGTTTAATGGCAGCGACTGGCAAAGATGGTTATATATCTATGTGGGATATATATAATAATTAGGAAAATCACAAAATGTAAATACATTTTGTACATATGAACAAAGCGAGGAATATAAAAATATTTATATTGTATATACATATATAGTTTATTGTAAATTATCTAATAAAAGTTTTCCATAACAATATATATTCGTGTGTATTAAAAGAGGAGATTGTTGCATTTATAATCATTATATGAACTTTTAGAGTATTAAAATATTGTTTATTGTACAACTGTATATATGTTTTTATATGATCTTATTGCCATCGAACTATGTGATACGTCTTTTTACCAACTCTCAGCAATGATAGATTATTGCTTAGTATATGAATGCCAGGTACAATTACCTCATTTAAATTAGTAATTTTTTGATAATTTACATAAAATCCACCTGCTGTTATGATTCGTTCAGCATCATGATCAGTTTTAAAGCATTTTACTTTTTTTGTTAGCTCGTATATGGTAATTCCTGGTTCAGATAAGACATCTACTATAGTTGCGCCTTCAAACACATCTGTTAGTTCCGATGCATTTAATCTTACAAATGATTCAATTGATTTATCATACAATGCTGCAGATGCACGCTTTGCAGCCAATAGTCCATCCTCTGTAAAAAAAATTACAAATTATGTAATAAATAATAATAATGACATAATTTTTTATAAAAATTACCTCCATGTACTAAAAGTGTAACTTGCTCCGCTAATAATTTCTGTGCTCTTCGCTGTTCTGGATTATTTATATGATTCTTCACAATTTCAGTAATTTTATTCAACGGTATAAATGTGAATAGTTTTAAGAATTTTTCAACATCGGAGTCTTTAGCTCTGATGAAATATTGATACAGTTGAAAGCTTGAGGATTTTATTGGAGACAACCATACTGCATTCAAAAGAGACTTCCCAAATTTCTTTCCACCTTCAGCTGTTATGAGCGGTAACGTTATACCATAAACTTCTTTTCGCATACTTTTCGTGATCAGGTCGTATCCAGACATAATATTACCCATCTGATCACTACCACCTATTTGGAAGCGACACTTGTAATTTTTCATCAATTGAAGCCAATCATATGCTTGGAATATTTGATATGTGAATTCAGTGAAACTCATCCCTGTCTCAGAATTTAATCTTGCTTGGACAGAAGATCTACCCAACATTGTACCCATTCGAAAATACTTTCCAATATTTTTGATAAATTCAATGATATTTACATTTGCATACCAATCCAAATTGTTTACTATAATTAGAGGCTTCAGTGCCGTTTCCTTATTTTTCCAAAAATAATATCTATGATTATTAAATATGGTCTCTATGTTCTTTGTAATAGACTTGATGTTTTCTTCAATTACATATCTTTCTATTTCAATGCGTTCAGATTTTCTATGACTAGGATCACCTATTAAACCGGTAGCTCCACCAACTAGAGCTATAACTTGATGTCCTGCTCTCTGCCAATGTAAAAGATTCATCAGAATGAGTAAATTGCCAATATGTAAACTGTCTGCTGTTGGATCAAAGCCAGCATAAACACATTGGGATGATTTGTTCAGTAAATCTACTATTTCATTTCTATTAAAAAAATATATAAGATATATAAATTGATATAAATATTAAGAGACAACGCATTATAAAAATTTTTATAACATTAAGTAACAGAAAAAATAATTCAGTATACTTACGTACTAGTATCGGGAAATATATCCTCGTACATGCCCCTTTCATGAAGCTTCAATATATTTCTGCTGCAGTAAAATCTGCATTTGTCAAAATTAACATTTCTGATGGTGGAGCTGAACCTTAATAAAGAACGCACGCTCATTTTGCTATATATTTGTAACTTTAAAAAAATAATGAACAATTATCTTCGAACTTCAGAGAAATCAAATTTCGTTATGAAATTTCTACATACAAATATGCGAACGTAAATTCATACGATCATAATATTCGCAATTCAAGTTTACAATGTCGATGCCAACCTCAAATAATGCGCCATCTGCCGCTCTGCAGTCTGCTTCTAACCTATGACACAGTGAACATATATAATACATACATAGATGTTAGTGCGAATAAATTGAATAACAATATTAACTATTTATTTGAAATATTAATTAGATTTTGTGTTGATTTTATTTAAATATCAGTAATAAAATAAAAGCTTAAAATAATTATTACATATGTTAAAAAAAATCTTATGAGATTAGACATATAAATATTAAATTTACATATTAAAATAAATTAATTAATAAGTACTCCTTCTAAGGAGTACTTATTAATTAATTTAAAAGAGGGAAAGTGTTGTAATTTAATAATTAAATTAGATTAAGATTAAAATTAAATTAGATTATTGATTTGCTTTAAGATATAAATATAAATCAAGATGTTTATTGCATTTATTTTAGTATATTTACAAAAGAATACATATAAGCATGTTAAATATTAGGCCAAACAATTCTGTGTATAAATTGTTATAATATAACAAATGTATAAACTTGCTTATATATTAGTATCCTATTCTAGATGGCGGTGTAGCAAAGTATTTCTTGTTTCTCCTCATAAAAGTGCGGCTGTAAATACAAAATATAAAATATGAAATATAAAATAAGGAAAATATATAGCAATTATTATTTGTGCGATACTCACCTAGAAGCGACAGGAGTGAAGAAACCGCGAGAGATACTACGCTTGAGAAGTGATTCCGTGGATGGCGTATGTTTCAATTCTCCCGGTTTTGGGGTAGAAGTGCAATTCGAATTTGTAGGGTTTACATAAGTTGCCCAATAATCGGATGGAATTTGAAGTAAACTCTCTACTATCTAGAACGTGAAATATATTACATTATATTTCAGTATCAGTCATAATGGTGCATTTAAAAATTTTTCTTACCGCAACTTGATGCTGAATATCACTAATAGATGGTTCCTTGGAAATGTAACCGACTAAAGTTGGTCCAAAGACCTTGGCGAGATTACTAATAGGCATCTTACATTCAGCACTACTCGATACTCTCTGTAAATGTAATATCAAAAAGGCTAAAGTATCGCGATTTGGTTGTGGCAATTCTGATATTGCTTGATAAAGAGCGGCGTCAGCATCCTGTTTATCCGTCTTTTGTGTCGCACGTATAAAGTCTCCCAACAAACCGACAGTGATCAACGGTTCACGTAAGTTTCTATAAAATATGAATTCAAATATATATATGTATATATTGCATCCCCTTTTAGAATATATTTCGGGTGACATACCTAAGAAAATCTTTTAAAGTAGAACAGATGGTCGTAATATCGACGTTAGAAAGATTTGGAGCGCCTTTGCCTTTCAAAAACTTCTCCAGGAGACATTTGACATCTACTTTTGCTCCGTTCACTCTGTATAATCCCTGCTCGTTCATTCCGCGTAATTCAACTTCGTTAATGCAGTGAACTACTATGGAAGGTACCATTGGTGGTGTTATAGGTGTGTAATCAGCTATAGTACCCTATACATGAAAATAGCATTTAGTGAAGATATTGACGAAAAATGTTTTGACGTAGAAATTATAATAACGATACTCACAGGTATACCACGTAATGTAGGTGTATTTCCTGTTGGAACACATGGTAGTGGTACTAAACTTTTACACTCTGTATGAGCTGTAGCTCTACAATCTCTGCATTTTTGTAGCGTATTTCCAAATCGAATTCTATTAATAAATGAAAAGACATTAAGATTTTTTTTCTTATCCATAGCAAATCTTATGAAATTAATTACAAGCTTTTTAATATGTTCATGTAGTTGAATAACATTACTTTTTCCCACAATGTGTGCAGATTTCCGGCCTAAGTATAGTTTTTGCTACAAAATGATGACTTCTAGACATTTTTAAATTCATGGTATAGCCACCAATATTTGGACTTGGTTTATAAATGTCCTCCGAGTCTGAAGTTGATGTAAGAATATCAGCCTTTGGTGCTGATGGCTAAAAAAAATCATTCCTCCTATTAATTATAGACATACACTTTAAATGTAAAGCAATTAAATTATATGATTTAGTAACGTACCGCTGTATCAATTGGCATTTTGTTTACATCTAAATGCGATAATTTTGATTTATTGTGTTCTGTACTACTTTTACGTCGTTTGCGTGAATTATGCAGGAGAATCTGGGGATCAGCATTTTCATCACCAGGTATAGCCTCGATCGTGGATGATGCAGTAATTGTACCATCCTTTGGCATAACTACAGTAGTAGTCGCTACTATTTTATCAGAGGAATTTAATTCTGTAGCTTTGTGCAATGTACTGCGATGAGGTTTTTTGGAATATTCGCTACTGGGACGATGCTCTTTCCATTCTCGCCTTTTCTGATTTTGCAAAATAGCACTGGTCTCAAAGTCATCATCTGATCTTGATAAACAATTAAGGTCACTCAATAATGAGCCAGTGGAATTCAATTCCGCTATTGTGTTAAGTCTAAAATAATATGAATAATATAACATTGTCATACAATCCAATGTATCTTTGAGTATAAATTGAGATTATATTTACTTGTCAATCGGTACATCTTGAATATGTGTGTTACTTTGACGTTGATTCATTGAAGTATTATTAAGAAACTGTAATTTCTCTCTAGTTTCATGATTCAGATTTTTCCCTCTATCATTAAACAGTAAATCTCTGGCTGTATCAATTTGTTCCTTCTGAAAAAGATGTAAATATGAACAGTTGATTAAAAAAAGTTAAAGTATTCTTAGAAATAAAAGAAGTATCAGTTACTAAATAATCTCTATGATCCTCGACATCACGACGTTTACGATTCTCTTCTTCCAAATTTCTTCTTGCGTGACGCAATTTTCTCTCAAGACCCGCGATTTCAGCATGAGCCTTATCCAAAGCTGAATGAAGTCGTTGACATTCTTGCACTGATGCCAGCCATTTCTGTCTCATCTCCTCTTGATTTAAAGCGAATCGTAGGAATTCTATATAAAGCAATGTTGAAACAATACATTTATATCTACGTGTATCTATAATAGATTTATTTTTACAGCTTAATTATGTACACCGTTTTTAAAATGAAATAGGTATACAGGTTTAAATTCGACTAAACGAAAAAGTTTCAGTGTAGTCCAGTGTAGCAAACAAATTTTATAATTATTTTAGAAAAGTCGATTAAGGTTATCGCAAGGAAATAAATAATAGCTGCAATAATATCGATCATATATGATTATTAACGAACCTTCTTCGCAGGCCCCATTTAGCAAGACGTTTGTACATCTCACCAGCTCGTCGTAAGTTGCTAAAAGTGACAACGACATCATTCTTATACTTTTTTGTTGTTTCTTCCGTGAACTATCACTCTGCTGACATGTTATCGGCCTGTAACATTCAGCAATCTGTCGTGATCAATAGTAACTAGTTCTCCCTGATAGTACACACAAACAGTTTAATAGATTCAATGAAATATTCGAGCGATTGAAATCATACAGATAACATGGTACGCGACGCCCGTCGGAGTTCGGAGTTTTGAAAATCGCCCCTTTTCTAACCGTTAAGTTGATAGAGATGACCTCTGCTGGAGAAAATGCGAATTATTTCCACCATGATTCCATGATGCTGCCAACCCTCAAGATTTTAATTTCTAATCGATCAAATAATTATAATCTTTTTGTTCTGATTGCAAATTATATTGATTATAATTTAATCATTTAGATAAATCTGATTTTAGTTTATTTTGTCTAATTAAATTCTAATTTATAATTAATTGATATATATATTTTAATAAATTATATTTTTTACTTCATAAACAAATAAAATTCAGATTTTTTTTTTTATATCTGATTAAGAGATTTAAATGTACACGCTTATAATTATATTAATATAATGAAATTCAGTATATTTTTATTATTCTTCTGATAAATATCTTAAACATTTTTTAGTAATATGATTCTTAGAACGTCAATATGATAGTGTTGTATATAGGAAAGAAAATAAAAAATATATATAATTATATATAAACAAAATTCGATATATATTAAATCTAGTCAATTTTACATATATTTATATACATTAGAATAGATATTTTATAACTGGTGTGTATAATTTTAATATCTAACATGTTATACATATATTTAAAAAATTAATATATTATAGGATCGTGTGTGTGTGTGTGTGTGTGTAATAACACAAACTATAGAAATCAAAGCCTTTAAACAGTTGGATCTTAATGCTCTGCTCTAGCATTTAAAGGCTTTGATAATTTTTTTAATCAAAATACTTAATTATTATCATGAATCCAATTTGTACGTAACTTAGTATTCATTACTTCTATAGATATTAAACTTTAATTAGATATATAACAGAAAAACAGGCAATAAACAAAGGTTTTTAGAAATTATTAAAAAAACTTTCTTAAATATCATTTGGAGAACATGAACTATCTTTTTCAATACATAATGTTTTAAGCTTGGAGAGTACGGAAATAAGCTCTGCCTGTGTATTTGCTATCTTTGCAGCAAGATAGATGGATTCCTGAAAACGCTTCTGACTGTTTTTCAAGTTTTGTGGAACCAATACACCAAACCATTTTATAGGATCTTTCGGTCCATCTGCGTCATCGCTTAATTTTTTAAAACTGATGTCAAAACATGGCTCAGTCATATCATTATCTTCATTTATTGTTTTAGTCTCTAAATCAAACAAGGATGTCACTGTATCTTCATTATTTGGAACTTGTAACATACTGATATTTTCCTTTCCACGAATATATTTTGCTTTTGCCAGCTCAATGTGGCCATCCTTCAGCAATGTTTCCATTTGAATATTTCCATGAACTTTTTCTTCTATTAATTCTAATTTACGTAACATTAATTCATCAATCTCTTCCGATAAAACATCTACGTTTTTACTCATACTGTAATCGATAATTATCGCCACAAAAATTTTTAACAGTATATGCACGATGAAATTTTATCTGAAAGCAAAATATCGAAGATTATATATAACATGAAACATTATTGATGAACAAACATTCATTTATTATTAAAGAAATAAAAGATAGGTAATTTAAAGAGGTACAGCTATTATTTTAAAATATCTAATTTTATCAATATTGGAGGTGAGAGAACTAAACTAATTCCCAAAAATACATATTTTATGTATTATACATATTTTATCTATCTTACATCATATCAAACAACTTACATTGATTATTATTTAAAAATATTGTCTTAACCTATCTTGAAAGTAATATTTCAAATATCTTGTTTTATAAATGAATTCAATTTGTTTCTCCAATCTTTTGTATTCTTTGAAAGAGGTTCCAATCAAACTTTCATATTATATTTATTTAAAAAATCAAGATATTAAGATTATTCTCGACTATTTTCGAGATATTGTTGTATTTGCAGAAGCACTTTTATAATAGCAAATGAAATCTCTATCACTTCTCGCTCTCATCTGGATTGCAAATAATTTTATTTATTATTTTAAGTAAATCGGTTTTAAAAAGTCAATTACAAGATTTGGTTCTTTAACAGCTTTTTTACTTTCGTAGAAAATAAGTCAAAAAAGTATCAAACAAAATACTTCTTTTACGAGACAAAATTATAGTAGAGTCTGTATGTTATGTTTCTGCACTGACTGCACCACAAATGAAGTGCAAAGTGAATGTGCTTCGGTCGAATAGTCGAGTATTGCAAAATTTTAGCAAAATTCGACGAAATTAATTGACTTTCAGACTTTTTAAAAGAAAGAATATAAAAGATAAGAAAGATATAAAAGATAAGAAAGATTGGAAAGTAAAAATATATTAGAATTTGAATAATGAAGTATTATAACCTCAAGAGAAAACTAAAGGTGATCAACCGATCGAAATAAACCCTGTATTTTTTTGAGGAATATTAACAAGTATTACATAAACATAAACATGACTACACCTATATTAACAAAAAAGCAGCAGAGGCACAGCTTATCAGCTAAAACTGGGCCTATCAAGGGTTTGCGGAATATTTTGGCACAACCTACTCAGAATTTCTGGTATTTTCACATGATATTAATTTTGGAGCATTTTCCATTTGTTTTAATAATTTGATGTAACAGTATTAAATATTTAATCAAAGATGAACATTTATTTATAAACATTGTTGAAGCTAACATTTTACTAAAGATGATTGCAGTTTGTACTTATTTTTGCAAAATGCTTTTTTAGGCCAATTGTTAATGTAGATCAATATCCAGAGTTGATGACAAACTTAAATATGTAAGTATGTGATTTAAAACATAAATAATTTTAAAAAATATCATTTTTAATCATTGTGGAAATGTTTTATAGGATATTACCATCAATAAAAAAATCTAATCATAAAATCCCTAAGGATATACTTAAAAACCTAACAAAAAAAGATCGTGCATTAGTTAGAAAAAAAATGTTAGAAGAGGCACCTCCAAAACCAGATATACTGTAAGTACCCTTTGTATTATATAGTTGTAAATAATTTAAAATTTAGCTATTTTATCTGATTTATAAATTTTAGGAAATTCATGGTTATAGGTATTAATGAAGTGACTCGAGCCTTAGAAAAGGATAATATATGTAGCATCTTATTAGATGCTAATACTGACCCGCTTATATTAATAAAACATATTATTTCCATGGCAATAAACAAACAAATACCTGTTCTAATGCTGCCTATGTTGAGAACAATCATAAAAGAAAAAGGATTTCCCTCAAGAGTTCTTGCTTTAAAGGTAACATATTAATATTTTATCATTTTAAACATATTTTTGTAGATATTTCTTAGAGATTTATTATTTCTTACAGCAAGAGGTAATGCAATGTCCAAATAATATTTGCTATCCAATATACAAATCGATAGCAGAAGCTTTTAAAGACTTCGAGTTACCAGAATGCTTGCTTCAATGTTATAAACCAGATGAAGTACCTGATAAAAGCGCAATATGTAAAACAGAAATCACAGATAAGGATTCTGATACAAAGCCAAATATTTCTAAGCCAGAAAAATCTGTTGCAGTATTTGCAGATGTGTATAAATACAGATCTTCACGAGATGAAAGAGTTTTCGTACCACCAACAATCAACAAAAGTTCTCAACTCTCTCAAACACTATCAGATAACTTTATTCCTTCAGACAGTGATCCTGATACTGTCAATGATAAAAATTGTGCAATTATATCGAAGAATGAGAAATATGTAAATATCGAAAAGAAAGAAAAATATTTACTAATATCCGAAAATATAGAAGAGAATCAGTCTTTTAATGAATTAAAATTAATAAAAAATAAAGCAGATTCAACGGAACAAACAAACATATTAAGTTCTCAAATCTCTCAAAAATCAGATGATTTTATTCCTTTAAACAGTGATTTTGATTCTGTCATCGATAAAAATTATGCAAGTACATCGAAGAATGAGAGATATGTAAATATCGGCAAGAAAAAAAAACGTACACTGAAGTCTAAAAATACAGATGATGTATTAAAAAGATTCAGAAATGAACCTAATTATTTGTCATTAAAAATAAAATGTATACAAGGAAGTAAGAAACGAAAAAAAGCAACTAAATTTGCTAAGAAAAAAGGATAGAAGCACTTGACAGTTTAGTAGTAGAATAATTGTTTAGCAAGAAAAAATCTGAGTATAATTCTTAATATTATTCCGCATGTGATACAGGATTTTGAATGGAAAAATATTCTATTGTGATGAATACAAGAATCAAAAATATAAATTAAATCCTAAGATACAACGTAATATTGGAAATAAAGAATTGGTTTTGAAAATCCAAATAACAATTACAATTCGTTTTCTAATCTAAGGTGATTAAATATAATTTTTGTCTTATTTCATGTCAATTGTCAATAAACATTGTATTTGATACTCAACTAGTTAATAAATAAATTTCAATATTTGGAACTGAAATTCATGCTTTAGCTTCAAACATTGGAATTTAGTTGTTAACTTTCTAAATTGAGTGTCAAAAATAAATTCTATATAAAAAGAAAAATAGAACAAAAATTATGTATAGTAATAAAAATATATTTTAAATTATTACATTATATACAAGAATTAACCCTATCTTTTTCGTTATCAATTTACTTATACTAATAAACAGAATTGTATTTATTAATATAAGTAATACAATTCAATCAAAAAAATTCTACTAATAATAAATTGTAATAAAAATATAGTAACTCCCTCATTTTTACGCATATAAATTATACATAGTATAAGAGTATATAAATTGTGTGTTGAATGTATGAAAACGAATTCAAATTAGTTTTCTCTGTATTAATTTTAATAACTAGATATTAGATAAATGATAAGTCATTTAATATCCATATTTTTCTCAATATAAATTTTATGTGATGCTTTAAAAAAATTTCCAAAAGATGGAGATATTGTTTTTCTTTTTATTATTATAAAACAGCAAAATATATCCTAAGCATAGTAATATCATCTTTCACACAGGTAAACTTGATTTTACAGACGATCTAAACACTCTTGTAAAGAACATAAGGCCAGTTGTACCTCCTGGTATATGACTTATTAAAAAGGACAATGTAGCTATCAACTGTAAAATAGCACATAATATTGTCAAAGGAGTCGATTGCAAATGCAGAGCAAAGTAAAGTGTGCCTGTTAATGTTGCAAAGTACAATATGGTAAAGTACTTCTTCTCAGCTAGGAATAATGATTTCATATAACTTGATCCCCACAAAAAACAAAAGCTAGAAGAAATCTTTTATTAGAAATATAATATTCTTCTCATATATATATTCATAGATATATCTCGTATTATTTTTTAAATATTTATATATGTACCTCATTAGAAAGAAGAGACTCCCTAAGGAATAAAGGAGAGCAAATTTTCTTGCTTTAAGTAATAATACAGGAATATAAATCGCTGATAGACAAAAGCATAATAAGCCCAGAAGAAAACACACAGCGAAAGATATGAGCCTTTGTGTTCTCGTCTAACAAAGTAAAAAAATCTTTTATAAAAAGGTCCAATATTCAAAGTCATTGATATAGATTTTATTCAACAAGAATTATAGCATAAGTTTTCTAATCTATTTAATTTATATTTATTTATTTATATTTTTAAATATATTGATAAGAAATAGATGTTTTTATTGATAACAATGGATGATTTTTAACAAATTTACATAAATAAAAGTTGATTAAATTTGATTTCACAATTTTCCTACAGAAATACAAAAATATTTCAATTACAGGAACGTAAAAAATATCAGCTACAATATTACATATATCACAAATAAAGTTTGACTAAATTCAAATTAATCAGCGATTAATTCAGTAAAATTTATCAGAGCACTAATTTCTATCATATAATTTGTCGGCATTAGTCTAATTTTTTCCCATGTTTATAATATGATAAAAAAATCGAGTTTTACATTTACAAAATACTACAGATATTTACTTGACAGATTAATCGTTTGATTGAAAATGAATTTAGAGAGACAACGCCTTAAACTTTTAATGTTTAAGTTTGACACTACTGCTTTGCATTAATATTTTTTGAGTTAATCAGAATTTTTAACATTTAATCAACATCAGTGCAAACATTTGTCGAGTTGTTAAGGTTATGAGACAATGCCGTACCATAGCAGGACAACATTCTCTTTGCGATTTTTGGATCCATCCTGCCTTCTCCTCCGTCTCGTCGGTACTTTTTCTGAACCATTTGCCAAAGTTCGCTTTCGATATCGCTACCGATGGAATGGCGATTTTATATTGTTTTTCATTTTTGTTACTGAGGAGATATTCGTTCAGCTCCTTATTGAGATCAGCCATTTTGACATATCGCGCTATTGAAATTGTAAACAATGAAAGTTATCGATTGTAAGAGAGAAATTGTTTTTATCAACGATAAGTATATGTTTAATTTAATAAAGTAAACTGTTTTATCGACTACTGCGATTTACTTTATCGATCGTACGCAGTTCGATCGATTATACATCCGTCAAGGAGCTGAATGAACGAGATATAAAAATCGATTGGACACAAATAGCATTTGAATACAAAATTGAATACAAATTGAATACAAATAGCGTTTTCTCTTGGAATACACTGGGTGCAATATCTTGCATTGCATTAGTTACGTGTAAGTGCGACACTACACTCAGTTACACTACACTAGAGTGCACATTATGATGTACACTACATCATTATTGCGCTAAAATCCTG